TGTGCATACCCTTTGACCCAGCAATACCACTTCTAGGTCTGTGTCCTAAAGAGATCATAAGAATGGGAAAAGGACCCACATGTACAAAAATATTTATAGCAGCTCTTTTTGTGGTGGCAAAGAATTGGAAATTGAGGGGATGTCCATTGGAGAATGGCTGAACAAGTTGTGGTATATGAATGTAATGGAATACCGTTTTGCTATAAGAAACGATGAGCAGGCTGACTTCAGAAAAACCTGGAAAGACTCGTATGGACTGATGCTGAGTGAAGTAAGCAGAATCAGGAGAACATTGTACACAGTAACAGTCACATTGTGTGATGACTGACTTTGATAGACTTAGCCCTTCTCAGCAATGCAAGGATCTAAGACATCTCCAAAAGTCTCATGATGGAAAATGCTATCCAGATCCAGAGAAAGAACTGTGGGGTCTGAATGCAGATGGAAGCAGACTATTTGCTCTCCTTTTCTTTTGTTGTTTTGTTTTGTTCCTTCTTTCTCATGGTTCTTCCCATTCGTTCTAATTCTTCTTTATATCATGACTAATATAAAATATGTTTAATGTGAATATATAAGTAGAGCCTATATCAGATTACATGCTGTCTTGGAGAAGGGGGAGGAGAGGGAGAAGGAGAAAATTTAAAACTCAAAGTCTTATGGAAGTGACTACTGAAAACTAAAAATAAATTATTAAAAAGAAAGATTTTGAGTTCCAAATTTTTCTTCCTCCCTTCTTCCCTCCCCTTCCCCTCTCCCCAAGATGACAAGGAATCTGGCATAGGTTATACATGTGTAATCATGTAAAACATATTTCCACATTATTGATGTTACAAGACTGGTAGATTAGAGAATGCCATAGGTATTCCAATGCCATCATGCCAGAGAATGCCATCATGATTTTAGCTAGATATTTGACAAAGTGTATCACAACAGCCTCTGCCCAAGATGGAAAGATGTGGACTAGCCAGAGACCAGTGGTACGCTGGACCTGGTTCATAGTAGCTCACAAGAGCCAACTGTTAAATTTTCAATGTGAGCCCTTACACCTCAAAAATCAGCAAACACTACAAGTCAGGGCTTCGTTTACTGTTTTGTTAACTGTCTAGACTTTAAAAAGTTAGGGAGAAAATGTTAATAATGCAGATTAAATTTAAAGGGGTATTGTATATGTGTTGCTTTTATTCCTGTAGTCAAACATTTACTAGCACATCTCAATCAAAAATTGTTCCCTACTCCCAGCCACAGATTGTCTCCTACTAACACTGTTTATAGCCTGAACTCTAACTCTGGACACAGACTAAACCCTGACCATTGCCACAGACCAAGACCTAACCCCCGGCAACTGACTTGCAACCACGTACCAATAGTCACAAGGATGACCAGGCAAAAGGTGTGTGGACGGTTCAGTGTTGCTCATCCCTGATGCTGAAGCCTCATCTCGCACCACAGGTCATTATTCCTTCAGTAGGAGAATATACACCATTATCATCAAAGCTAAGGACACCGGTGGTGAATGTAATATGCAACAAGTTCCATTCAACAAGAATTTATTACTCAGGACTGGGGATATAAAGAGGAAAAACCACAGAGGCCATACCTCGGAGAGATTACATTGCCTCAGGAGGAGAAGAGGAATACAACATTGCAGGGAAAAGAGTGCTAGATTGCAAATCTGAGGGCCTGAGTTTGAATCTCTCCTCTGATAGTTCTTACCTGCAAGACTTGAGTAAGTCACTGTTCAGCCTCAGTTTTCTGAACTCTAAAATGAGGGAGTTTTACTAAAAGTATCTTCCAGCTCTAAATCTATAATCCTATAACAAGCCACTGACCTACCAGAAGGCCAGATAAAGGACTCCAGGAAGGAGGCCAGATAAAGGACTCCATTTGAGATGGCAGAGAGTTCAGTCAGTAGGGCAAGGTTACATGGAGGGTTGGCCCCAAGTTGAGGTCTGAAAGTTACATAGGTCATGTCCCGGATGAACAAAAACAGCCTAGACACAAAGAGAACCACCTAGCAAATATGTCTTTGGAAGCATACGCTCATTGTCTTCACTTCTTGTACTAAAATGTCTGTGTATAGCCACTGTATTCAGATGTGAGTAAATAGTGAATCATCAGGTCCCTTCTGAATCAAAGCAGACTGTGTGGGAGAAGTGAGTTTGGTGAGATCTTGGGGTGGGATAGAAAGGAAGGACCCTGGAAGACCATGGGAGGGCTCAGACTGAGGGTGATCATGGTACCCTGTGGATGCCCTCTCCTTCTTCCTTATATCTACCAACTTTTGCTACTTGGCTGCACAGATCTCCTGGATCTGCCTACTAGGCAGGGTTTCAGATGGAATGGAGGAGGGAGAGAAGGAAATAGTGAGGGTTGCTGATCTTCCTTAGTCACAGACTCCACTTCCCATTCGGAAGAGCCTATGTATGTGCCTGGCCAACCCCTTCCCACCCTGTCTCCTCAAGGTCAGTGGGTATCTGTTCTATGCTGAAGCTAGCTTACTTAAGAGATTTACAGAATGCCAGAGCTAGAAGGCACTTCAGAGATCATCCAGCCCAGGGATTCTTAAACTACTTTTTAAAAATACATTGATAATTATTTCAATATAATTGGTTTCCTTTTCAATCGTATGTATTTTTTTATTTTTTTTAATTTATTTTGCTCTGAACTTAAGAAATAAAACAAGCATTTCTGTAACATATTATAATAGAAAAAAGATGATTGCACATGAAACTGCAACTATATTATGTATGACTTGCTATTCCTTTTAAATATATAATCAAGCTATCATGCAACTTTCTTTTTTCCCCTTTTTTCTTCCCTCCCCCCCAGATGGCTAACATTAGACACAAATATGTGTGTGTATACATACATTCATACATATATACACAAAACTATTCTATATGTACTTCTATTTATCAGTTCTTTCTCTGGATACACATAGCTCCTTCCTTCATAGGTCCTTTGACTATTATAAATACTCAAATTAACTACAATCCTATGTATTTTATTTTATGCATTTAAAACCATTCTGAGAGAGTTCCATAGGCTTTAGTAAATTTACTGCCAATGGGGTCCATAATACAAAAAAGGCTGAGAACCCCTGATATGATCCATTTGTAAAATGATTCACAAACATGGAAATTGGAGTTAATGACCACATCAGGACTAAGGCTTTGCTTTCTAATCAACTCTGGATAAACAGCATCTGGCATGGTTATCCTGAGAAAAGAGACCCAAGTCCAGTTATTCCTTCCACATCACAACTTTCCCCATCACGGTTTCGAAATATCACAGGTCAGCATAAGAAATTAAATGGGAATTTCTTGAGAGTTTTGCAAAACATGCAGACAAATGCATAAAATATATGCATAGTATTGTATAATATCAACATATTTTATCTTTTAGAACCCCAAATATACCTAATAAGGCACTATAGACACCCCATAAAAGAAAAAGAAAAAAAATTCAGACTTCTTCTCTGGTACGAAAGGAGAGTCAGAAAATTTTATGTGGATTTTCCGGATCACAGGGATGTCACGCCCCTGACCCTAGTGGCATGGAAGAGATAGCTGTAGTTCCTCTGCCCTGAATGGGGCTGGGAGCCAAGAGCATTGGGTTCTACTTGGATAACTCATTCGCCTTGCACGTTTGAGCAGATCATTCAAGCTCACTTGGTTTACCATTGCACTGGAAGGATCTCTTAATGTTCTTTTTAATCCCATGATGCCAGCACTGTACCTGCCACCTAGCAGCCACGCGATAAATGCTTGTTCCTTGTCTAGATTCCTCACCCAACTAACATTCTCTAGTTTGCACCATTCCCTTGTGGCCCCAAAGCCCAATCTCTCCTTCTGTCTCCCCTTTCTCCTCACTCTAACACTTTATGGTCTCACCTTCCCAACCTCATCCTTCCTTCCTCTCAGTCTCCACCTCCCCTTGTTGCCACCTCTACCCACTTACCCCTCTCTACCCATGACCTCACTGCCCCCAAGAAGGCCTAAGGAAGAAAAATGGGAAGGAATGTATGGGATTGGTGGTGAGGGATGAGAAGGGGGAGGCAAGAGGCAGTGAAGTGTTTCTGGAGTTGGGGGTGGAAGGAGGAGAACCATTTGGGGACTGGTTTTGTGGCTTCAAGGAGTCAGTGCTATAATTTTATTTTTATT